TTCCAGTTCTCAATATAAGATTTTTTTTTTTACAGTATATATAAAAATTTTATATTTATGACCCAAAAATATTTGATAAATCCACTTCGCACGTTGCGAATTATTCTCTCCTAGTTTATTCTACGCTACTCTGGTTGGATGGAAAGAAATGTTTTATAGATATATATATATTTATGAAGATGGCTTAGATAGGATTGGTCAGAGTGAGGAAACAGTTCGCGGTCTATACTGTCACGATTAGCTTTTAAAAATTGATGAAATTTGATTTAATAACCCAGGTTAAGGAGGAGTTTGGATTAGTTTTTCAGAAGTAATTTTATAATATTTGAGTATGTGAGAATAATATCATCTCAAAAAAATACTTTTTTTTATAATTTTGATCTTTTCAAATAATCTCTAAATGCATCATTAGAGCTGCTTTCCTGAGCTTGAAACATGCTTAAACTTGATTCAAGTCTAGCTTATGATTGAACGTTTTTCATTTGGATGTTTTTCGTTCATCTGGGTCATTGTCAAAAGTAAGTAAAATTTAGAAGTTAGTGAAATGGTGCTATTGTTGACATTTTGTGCGTCTAGTTTGGTGTCTATGGCAGTCAACGTCCTCTCATGGTTTACTCTAGGAAGAGGCGTGAGAATTCAGGGTAGTTATGTATTCCACTCTTCAACTAGATTTTCTCCATTCAAAATAGTGTATGGCAGGGATCCTCCAAATCTGATACGAGTTGACTCTGATGACACAAGGGTGCATGACTTGTCTAATTTCTTGCTGAAAGAGATGCTATCCTACTGAACCTTAAAGAAAACTTGCGTGCGACCCAATCTAGAATGAAGTCCTATGCTGATGAGAAACGTAGGGAGCTCAATTTCAGCCTGGTGATATGGTTTACTTGAAAATTCAACCATATCGTTAGTGTTCTTTGGCTTCATGCAAGTTTGACAAGCTTTTACCTGGATATTTTGGTCCTTATCCAGTCCTACGTCGCATTGGTGATGTTGCCTATGAGCTACAATTGCCGCCTCAATTGAAGGTTCATCCTATCTTTCATGTTTCACTCTTGAAACCTACTTATGGTTGTCAACCACAGGATGTACCTCCTCCGCTACCTGTTACAGTAGATTGGGAACTCTTACTTGAACCTGACAAGATTTTAGACTCTCGGGTTGTTTATGACAAAGATGTTCCGAATGTTCACTTGCTGGTTCAGTGGAAAAACCGCCCTTCAGAGGAGTGTAGTTGGGAGCCTTACGATTTGATTGCTTCTCAGTTTCCCTCATTCAACCTTGCGGACAAGGCTTCTTTTCTAGGAGGGGGTAAATGATAGCGATCCACGTCCTCTCATGGTTTACTCTAGGAAGAGGCATGAGAATTCAGGGTAGTTATATATGCTATGTGGGTGTTTTATGTCTTATTTTATGGGTTGCTAGTAGTTATTTTCAGTTATGTTGTTGGTTATTATTCAGCAGTATTTAAACTCAATATGTTGACAGAATATGTTATGTATGGAATATTATTCAGACAAATTATCTTCCCTGTCTTTCTCCTAACTCCTCCTTTCTCCTCTTCTATTCTCTCTCTCTTCTCAAATCCTCTTTCTTCCTTTTCTTTCTTTACTCTTCATTCCCAGATCCTATCAGTGTCACACCTTTAGGGCATTTTATTCCAAATTGGATGCCCAATTTGCCCTCGCTCTCGTACAAAGAGTTTTTTCATTTACAAAATTTTTAAAAATACAATTTCTCTAAAAATTATCATATTATGTAAATTTATAACTTTATTTAGTTGTTTTGATAAACCGTTGGCACTTGTCATTACCAACAATTTTGTGTCATATTTATAAGTCACTTGTATCACAAACCCACAAATCAAGAAATGCATTAAATTGATAATTTTTTTCTACCTTTTGCCCTTATTAAAGAAAGAGTATTAGAAAAATAAGTCTTGTATTTTCTCTCACCTATTTAAGTCATTAGGGATAAAATTAAAAAAATTTTATTAATTACCCCACAAGTGACTTGTATTCAAGGACAAACTTTATATATATATATATATATATATATATAAGTGACTTATAAATAAAAACATAATGATAAGAATTATACTCCTCCGGTCCTTAATATAGGACCCAATTGTTGAGTTGGTTTTGGTCTTAAATATAAGACCCATTTCTCATATTTATCAATTTTCTCTAAATTATCCCTATGGATACTCCTTTAACCATAATCAAGTAGAAGAGGGAGAAGGGGTATTAAGAAAGATGATTATGTGTTTTATGAAAAATGTGTTACATTTCTTATAATTAACCAACTTACCTAACTTTCTTAATATAATCAAATTAGTTAAATGAGTTTTATATTAAGGATTGGGGGAGAACTAACAAACAACCAACCACTAACGGTGGATGTAATTCGCTAAAAAAACCACCAGTAATGTGTGGATTCTTTGCAAAATCACCATGATTGTTGGCAGCTTGAAATGAAATCATATTAGCACATGGCTGGCATCAGTCTTATAATTTAGTGTGTGGATTCTTTGTATACTTTTTTTTATTAAAAAAAAGTGTTTGTTCATCTAGACGAATGGGCCGGGCCCTGAGTCTCCATGCCTGAAAAGAAGACCAAATACTATGAGGGCGTAGCCCAAAATCGACATTTGGGTCTTTATCAGGAACATTTCGTTTAAAAATTAGGGTTTATGGTTTCCACCGATAAGTCTCTCAAGTCTGTTCTTGGCGCTTCATTCTGCCTCGCGAGCACAAACCATAGGATTTAGGCAGATTCATCTTTCAGGTCAAATTCTGCCCTCTTACTGGTATCATTCCTTTTAAGGATGATAGCTTCTTCTGTATTTTTAGTAGATACCTGTTGTGATCCTGTTGGGCAGTGGCGGATCTGTGAGTTTTTTTTTTTTTTTTGGGGGGGGGGGGAGGTATTTGTCCTCCACGGACAATGGATGGAAGATAGAACAAAAGAAGAAGAGAGGGATGGGGATCAGGAGAGTAAAAGAGGAGATTGATATGTCAGCACACACGCACACGCACCTTATCGCATTATTCTTCATTTAGCTCAGAAGAAGCATCTCCCTTTTTTTCGGTTATATCTGGGGCTTATATGTGTATATCTTTTTTTTTTCCCGATAAAAAGCCGCCGGAAAAAAGGATTTTCATTTTAGATTTGTCCTGCTGCAGTTGGGTTAGGTGATGCTGATTTTATTATCGTCCTTGTCCTTGTAGTTAAACACCCAAACCCAGCCAGGGAAAGAGAGCTCAAGTCTAATCTTGAAAATGCACGTGATGCTTAACATTTACTAGCTCTGTAGTATGGATTTAATGCGTTTTGTTTATTTTTGCTTGTGCAGGAAGTAGAGCTCAATTTCCAATAAGAAAATGTCGGGGTATGAATATTCTACTCTCAAGAGTAATCATTATATTACATCTTTTCTTTCGTGTGTACGGTGCGTGTGATCAGATATTTGTCATGCTTTTTGTTTTTCTCCTAAAAGATATCTTTGATAGGAAGCATGGCAGGTTCTTAAATGAGATCTTCTCATAATCTAATTGTTATTATTTTTGAATTAATGAGTACTGAGTTGGACATGTAACAGGCCAGTGACCCTGATAAGGCAATGCGATAACTGGTCACAAATTGACGTGTATTTTAAGCTGTCAAGTAACTAGATATTATGTCTAACTCCATTGTAATATGCATTCGATATGGACCTGCCTTTTTTTCAAGTTTTTATGCTTCATGGGCGATCCCACTCTGTATGTCGACCACTAATTGACGACATTTCATTGGGGTGTGACAAATATGTTGTGGGGGATGTATTTGCAGATTATTATGGTTCATAAAATATTGCCATGTGCTTTCTTGAGAATTATTATGGATTATATTTAGATTCGAACTCATCTGCAGCTTTAACTTTGATGAAGTCAATCCTTTTTTCATTGAATTGGAAGAGGAAAAACCAAGGATAAGAGTATGTGTCGTATTTGTTTATGAATGTTGGAAACCAATCATGATAGACTACTTAAAGTTTTCATTTGTCAACATTGTTCTGGATTCATTTAGATGAAGAGGAGCGTCTGATGTGTTTTGCTCATTTATTATGAATTGTTTCCTTTGCAGAGAAGAGGCTGTTGTTGCTGCTGAGACAGCTACACCAATTGCAGGTGAGCCAATGGACATCATGACCGCCTTGCAGCTTGTGCTGAGAAAATCACTGGCTTATGGCGGTCTTGCTCGGGGCCTTCATGAAGGCGCAAAGATTATTGAAAAGCATTCTGCGCAGCTCTGTGTTCTTGCTGAGGACTGTGACCAACCTGACTACGTAAAACTTGTCAAATCCCTCTGTGCTGAGCACAGTGTTAGCTTGCTGACAGTTCCTAGTGCAAAAACCCTTGGGGAGTGGGCTGGTGTAAGTGGCATTTAACTGTATCTTACTATCATCCCTTGCAAATATCATTCTCTCCAAATTTTAACTCTTAAAGATTTCTTTTGAACCTGAGGTTTTGAATAGTTTTATCAGTATATTTATACTTCTACAATATACAGCCTAATAGATTTGGTCTCCGTCATTGTTTCCTTGTCATGCTTCAGTTGTGTAAGATTGATTCAGAAGGAAAGGCTAGAAAGGTGGTTGGCTGCTCTTGTGTGGTTGTCAAGGTATGAACTGTGTATTGGCCATAGAAGCACATGTTCTTTGCTACTTGCCTGTTTTAATCTCTGGCTTATTGCAGGATTTCGGAGAGGAACATGAAGCCTATAACGTTGTTTTGCAGCATGTTAAATCTCACTGAGTTCTGGACACCTTCCTTTTTAGTTGGGGGTCTCGTTGGAATCAATGGTTGAGTCATTTTTGCCCGGGTAGCCTTAGTACCTGCATAGGCGTTTTAATATCTTAATACAATTTTGAACTGAATTGACTGTTATTTTCGTCACTAGTTATATATTCCAATTTATTAATGTTGTTATTAGTTGGTTTGATTATCTACGACATCAGGTGGACCATAAGGAATACTGAACCGAGGATTGATGCCAGAAAATCATCGTCGCCTTGATTGTTTCTAGAATTGTTTATCCTTCAGTTCATTGGCCACGTTATTATAGAGTAGGGTTAAAAAAAGATAACACTATCTTTTTCTCAAAAAGTTCATAAACATACTTATTAACAATGTGGACGGAACCAAGGCACAACCTTAAAGAGTGAATCCTTGTGGAACCTGGATCTCAAATGCGTTCCTTAAATTTGAATCTAAATTCATGAACTTGTTTCATCGATATGTCAGAATCGGGGGATTGTCCTTACGTTGTTCATATGCGCAGAAAAAAAGTTACAACTCTGTTTAGCTCTGTTTTGTGTATCATAAAAGAGAGGCACATGATTAGTTTAACCTTCTAGCCATAGTTTAGTTTGCATGTTTTAGGGAGTGTTTGGTATCATAGAAAAGTGCTTCTGTAAGATATCTAGATATCTTTTTACAAAATGAGTTAAATTTTTTTACATATTTATTTTGTGTATCATAAAAATATTTTTAAAATCATAGTTTTGTTTTCGTACAAACAACCTCTTAGTCAAATCAGTGTATAATACAGCAACATTTAGTCAAAACCCATATAATCACTAGTCATCCGCGTCAGCATCTTCAAACGGACCTACCCTGCTCTGTTGATCCTTGCATCAGGTTTTAAATCTCTAGGGACGGGCGCGTGACAGGGAGTACTCTGTGAGCATCCAACTATGAGGAGACGAAACTTGAGGGGCATAATTAAAATTACGCTGACTACTAGGGCGTTCAGCAAATAAAGACTAAAAGACATCGTTCTTGTTTTTAAAGAAAATAAAGACTTTAAATTTTATTTAAGAAGCCTAAATTATATTACCTTTGGTTTTTAACATAAAAACGAGTTGACTAATATGAATAGATTAAGAAAACTAGTTAAATTAGTTATTTGTAATAAATATGTATTATTTTTTAAAAAATATTCTTGCTAATCAAATGTATTGGTTAGAACTATTATTATTACAAAAAATATCTTAAAAAAATAGATAAATATAAAAGACAAAATAGATTGGGGTCTTATATTTAAGATTAAAATAAAAATTAAACAAGCTCTTATATCAAGGATAGAA